ATGTAGTAGAATTTTGTAATTGTGTTACTTGTTTAGAATTATGATAATTAAACGCAGATTAAAATTGTGAGACAATGTCCAAATCAATAATAATCATGTTTGTTTAGGAATGCAGCAAAAAGAATAAAGAGAAAAGAGAAGACTTTGAGCCGACCAATATTTTTATCTAACTATAGACACATCTAAAAATATAATAGATGTAAATATAGAACGTTTCAATGATTTCCAGTGAACGTCTTTTATTTAGACCTATGCACACTTCTAAAAACACATTACAACTGTTTATGAAACTCGTTCATTTGCATATCTTTTTTCTAAATTTTACAGAACAATTCTTATAAAAAACTGTTAATACAAAAAGTGTCATATATAAGATGGAAGTATATTACCAAAGTACATCTTACTTACCCTACAAACTGTAACATCTGAACCAGATAACAGAAACACATTTCCCTCTTATCATATACACATTGCAGAATAAATTGAAACGATTTGGGTGAATGGCAATACTTTTAAATACCAAAATAATTTGTCTAATTTTTCATCTATGACTGAAATCGTTTTATAGAAGCTATTTTATCACATAAGAATTATGTGTAAACACATTTTGGAATCAATTATTTCTTTAATACTGTGGATCCTTAAATTTATATTTACCAATTTTCATAGATTGAAGAAAAATAAATTTTTCGTGGATATTTGATTTATTGGATTAGCCAAAGTCTGCTCTCAAGCCTATATAAAATTGAAACTTCGTTGAGCAATAAAATTTGTAGTTTAACTTTACCCATAAAATCAACGAAAATTGGTACCCACGAAAAATTATAAATCCACAGTATAAGGAAGAGTGAATTTCTAAATAAAATTATGAGCAATGGTGAAAATGGGACATGAGGGTATATTGAACCATGTGTTATTCGTTGGTTTTGGTTTGCTTGTACATCTAATTTTTTCGTTAAATTCTGGTATTGGTTCAAGGTTTGGTGGTTGTTGGGCCACAGAGAAAAAAACTACTTTTGTTCACCAAACTTTTCACAGCAACCTAATGAATTAATGAATACAAACCAGAAGCTCACGGGTGATAACAATAAGCATCTCCTATCGTATTGAAGGGACGCGTCGTGTTTTCTCTCATACGAATATTAATTAGAGTTTAAGTGGTATTCGATGTCAGTTATGATATTTGAAAAGAAAACAGCATTGTGGATAAGACAAAAGGAACATAAGAATGGTCATTAGTTTTGTGAAAAAAATTCCGCATAGTCAAACCAAGTCATAATAGCGTCCGCAAAAAGATGTGAATTGTACCTTTAGGAATCCTTTAACAATATCTTTAGATATAGGGACATTTGCGTAACAAAACACACAGGCAACGTTGACTGCAAAATGTGTGAAAGGCAGAGGGTTGATCAATCATGCTTTTAATTTTTCACTATCTTTCTAGCAGCAATATCAATAAAGAATAGGCATTGTAATTTAGAAATATTTCTCTTTATTCGTAATGTACTACCAAGAATTAAAATTTCAACTGGCATGGTTATTTTCGACTATCTTAATCATGAACATATTTCTTACCGCCACATAGTTCAATGCTTATAACTTTAAGATGAACACCTTACTGTACTGCCCAATTCTAACTTGAAATTTTTATTATATCTTTTCAGGGTAGGATACCTACGTCTCATGCGGCGTTTCGAACACACAAATAAGGCGATCTAAACACACACTTGATAGTTAGATGTCTTAATTTTCTCTAGAGGACAATGTTATTGCACACTCAAATTGGTTTGCAAATTACTTTAACCAATGATAGTAATCGAATGGATAAGTAAAACTTTTCAAAACAACACTCTGATTCAAACAAAAAAATGTACGAAGCTGATACCATTAAGATGCTTGATTTTTTTCGGAAACATATTTGTAACATTTGGAACATTTCTTTCCTCTATAGTGACATCACCGAATTTGAACTTACCATGGGTAACACGATTAATGTCAAAGGTGGAGCAGGATCTGCTTACCCTTCTAGAGCAGATGAGATTACCACGAATTTTGGTGGAGTTTGTGATGTTCAGTCTTTTGTTTTCTGTGAAGTATTTTCTAGAATGTGTGTCTTTTCGTGTGATTTGTGCCATGATGTTGGTTTCTCGTCAACTTATGAATTTCAATTTGATTGTTATGTTGGTATCTTTCGCCTCTTGTTATTGAAATCATTAATGTTCGTTTTTAAAAATCCATCCACACGATCTTCCACAAAGAGGCGTTTTTGGTCACACGTGCAGACGTGATAAAGAAATGAGCGAGTTATCACCGCAGGTTCATATATTGTTAACGAAAACTCAGCATTCGGGCCTATTAAAGGACGCACGATAGCCTATACCATATTTTTCTAATACATATACATGATATAGTATGCTTGCTTAGTATTATATTTCAAATTTACCATTTTGTTTTTATTCCCTTGACTTCACAACAGATGAATGACAAATCAGATGATGATATAATAATGAAATGATACAGTGAAGTGTATTCGAAATCCTTATTGACATTGTGTGTTATGGAAATCTGCTCTGCAAGGAATACCATCTATTAGACACAATACATCATAACGCTCCGTAGTGTACAACTAAAGCCTCTTGTTGAATTTGTAGACATTTGGTCTTTGTTGTAGAATAATATCATCATCCGGCTTATTTAAAATAATGATAATTAAACGCTAAATAAAATCATGTTTGTTTAACAATGCAACAAGAAGGATTAGGAGTAGACTGACGACATTTAGCCGATCAATGCCTTCATATATTTATAGACAAATTTGAATATGTAACAGATATAAATATAGAACATAACATGAAAGTGATTTCCAGAAAATATGTTTCATTGGGGCCAAGGCACAATACAACTTTTAGGAAAATGATTTATTTGCAAATTGATTTTTTTTCTCTAAATTTTACCGAACAATTCTTAGAAAACTAGAAACACGAACAGTTATCATTTAAGAAGCAAAGGATAATATCAAAATACGTCTTCAAACGACAACATCTGAATAAGTTAAAACCAAAAACAAACACAAGTAAAAGTCATTGCCCTATGTCAAGCCCTGTATTCATATCCATATTGCTGAAACGATTAAGGGGAATGTCAATATTTTTCTTTGTAAAAAGACTGTCTAATTGTTTATCTATGACATCAATCATGCCTGTTACAGAACAAATGGTTTGTAGCTAGTATGTTTTCAGATTAAAAGTAGGTGTAAACACCTCTTTCTTTAATACTGTGGATTCACTTATTTTCGTGGATGCAAATATTCGCGGCTTGAGGAATAATTATATGTTCATGGATATAATTTCTGACAGATAAAGAAATATTTGATTTCTTTATCTGCAAAAATTTAAAGAAAATTTTAACTTCGTTGAACATTTATATTTTTGGCTTACCTTCACCAACGAAATCCACGAAAATTGGTACCATACGAATAAAAATGAATCCACAGTATAAGGAACAGTGAATAAACATTAAAGGAGAGTGAATTTCGAAATAGAAATATGAACAATGAGATGTTTGTTTGGCTTTTGTTTGTACATCTATTTTTCATAGAAATCGGTTGTAGATTGATGGGATACACTGTTGTAGGCAAGAGAGACACTAAACAATAAATTCTATTGTTCACCAAATTTTACACAGGAACCTAATGAATTGAGTAATACAAACCAAAATATAATAGATGATACAAGTAAGCAGCTCCTATCCTATTGAAAGGACGAGTCGTAGGATCTCTCTTCAGAAAATAAGTCAGAGTTTAAGTCGTATTCAATGTCAGTCATGATATTTTAAAGGTGAACAACATTGTGGGTAAGACATAAGGAAAATAAAAACCTCATTTGTTACAAAAATATTCTGTATTGGCTTACCAAGGCATGACATCGTCCTTAAAAAGTCGCGAATTGAACTAATAGAAATCACTTATTGGTGTTACTTGCATAAAGGTACTGACTCGGAGGCTATTTCGAAACATGCACTAGATTTTTTAAATATTGACCCCTTTGCGTAACAAAAAACACAAACAACGTTAACTGCAAACTGCGTGAAAGGAGAGGATTAAGTATCTTTCTAGCAGCAGTAGCTTTAAGAGTTGTCATGATATTTAATTGATATTTCTTTCATTCGTTATATACTACCAAGATATAAAAGTTCAACAAGTGAATTGTGCTAAAAACTATAACAAAATTATGATAAAAATGAATCAAAAATGAATTATGCTAAAAATTATGATAAATTATGATAAAAATTAATCAAACTGCCTTAAAACCTTTTTAATTGATCTTGTGTTCATTTTATTAATGATTTGTTGAAAAAAGTATCATTAGGGTCTGTTTAAATATTTTCTTTTGTACATCAAACGCGCGCCTAGCGTACAAAACTTGAAGTCTGGTACCTATGACGACTTTATTTGCAGTGAAATGCTGGCACTTTGATTATTTATTTTTTCAACGCAAACATAGATTGACACAAATTAATCAAAATTGACTGGATATATTGATTAAATGTTTTATCGACTTACGATTTATAGGTTATAAAATGTAATAAAACAATGAAACTTTACTATTTTGCTAAGTTGAAAAATATCAACAAGCAGGTCAGTGCATGAAATAGAAACGATGTTAGGAAATTAGATGGTTAAAACATAGAAATCCGGACAATAGTCTGAAATATTTCGTTGTTTGTCGACGATAGTTTTTAAATTCCATAGATACTGGACACTTTTGAAGGGAAAAATATACAGACCAAACGATCGGACTTATTTGTAACTTATAAAAACATTATTCATTATATATTATTTATACCGGTAAACCAGTAAATCCATTGATTTCCGCTGCTATTTTTACACAGGATTTTTGAAAATCTTACAATACCAATAAGTTGCAGTTTGCACAAGGATGTTTTACATTATGCATGTTTTACCAAGAAACTCTATATTTTCCGAAAATTGATACATCACCTTATATTCTATATAAACACTTACATCTTTTGCCAAATGTATAATTTTGCAACTTGCAGCTGGATTCAGTACATAACAAAGGTAATATTTTTAATTTGATAATTACATAAACTTGAGTACGATTTACATACAAACATGTTTCTAAATATGTAAAGTTTGCACGTCAATATTTCGAGGATGTCAGGTTTTGATTGTTGGTGTGGTCAGTTGTGCTGTCCAATATCCTATCACCTTTTTTTGTGTATGATTAAAGACAGTTTTTTACAACTGATCATACAATTCAAGAATGCACGTCAAAGATTTGCTTGCAGAAATGTGAAAATAATGAGAATATGCATGCAGCCTTAGAAGCAAGAGGCCGGGGGTTTCAATTTCAAAATAGAAATACAGAATTTTAAGGCAGATGAATGATCAATTCATTTATAAACTAGCAATATCGATGTTACTTTAATCTATTTATAGTTCAATCTATTTATAAATATAGTAACGTAACAAGTATGTGAAAGTGACTTTCTGAAAATCAAAAATAGCACATTATATTGCATATGTGTCGGTTTTCAAACGTATGAAAATGGAGAATGCAAAATAAAACGGTTTTAAACAATTAAAAAAAAATACTTTGTAGACGCGATTTTTCAGTTATGATTAGGTGTTGTCGCTTTTAGCTTCACCATGTTCACCGTGTACATGTAGATGTACAATAAATTCAACCCTTGAACATGTTGAATTGGTACTGTTGATTCGATGATCGGATTAAATGAGATGTCCATTTAATGCAACGAATTTGTTTAAGAAATGTACTGGACATTTTTTTTAAAATCCTGCTGAAACGATCATGTTGTATACTTGAAGGGTGTGTCAGAGAGTCAGAAAGCATTTAATTTAGTTCTACAATTGGTTGGAGTTGTTTTTATACATTTTGTACATTTGTAGACTGAATGGACAAGTGCAGAAGTTTATTGTAAAAATCTGTAAATAGTCTTAATTGATCTTAAATGACACGTTTTTGTTGTAAAAAGAAGATAGCTATTTTGTCATCTATAGATTATTCATAATTCATACTATTTTATAAAAACCAGTTACGATATGAGCTATCAAGTGCTGCATTGGTATTTCCATTATGGTGACTAAAAACGATTGAAGTTTCGAGTGCGTGATCGTTTTATTTCTACTACTTACGGAGACACACGAAAGATCATGTACAGCTATACAAATGTATGTGCTATATGACAACGTCGATTCATTATCGTAGCCGTCGGGTGGTTCAGATCAAATGGTATAATTCAGTCATGTGTTGTCACAAATATTGGAATCTAATGTTAGAACTTAAGGACATCCAATCTTAACTCATTTAGGACATCATCCAGTGTGAGTTTTTTTCCGATAAATGCAAGAATTCTGTTGTTTCGCTACGTTCAGATACAAAATTTTTTAAGTATTATTTTCCAATTGAGCAATCAGTTTAGGGTAAAAAGAGACTACCATCATTTCAAACACAGCACAAGGTATTTAGTAAAAAAGAACTATTTTAAGTGGTATAGTAAAATGTGAAACACATTTCTGAAATATCGTACTGCAAAATAAAAACTATGCTTTGTTGCACATAATTTCTTTAAACATGTAAACTAATAGTATCGCGAATGAGAAAATGAAAACTTCTAAACCATTGAGAATTTGTGAAATATTGACCAAAAAACGGGCTTTGGCGATATCCTTTTGGCGTGCTCGGTATTTATATATCCCGTCATTGTGGTATTGTGCTGTGGTCATTTTTTGTACTCTTGTCTTTCATTTTTGCTTATGTGTTTTGTCTAAAGATTGTCTATATGCCATTTTGTTTTTCATTGTTGACATAATTGTTTGTTATAGTGATTAAGGTTATAACACTATATAAACTGCTGTATCCCAATTTTTGACATTTTTGACCTATAATGTCTGTTTGTTTTGCTCACACATTGTTGTCAATATAATGGAATTCTATGCGACTTCCATACAAGTGTGGGGTTTAGCTAGCTGTAAAACAAGGTTTAATCCACATATTAGATCGTATATTATGTTCTCGTCCTGAATGGAATCAAATAATTGGACACCGAACCTTACATAAATAAACATTCATTCATCGTTCAACTATAAAACAGAATGAATATGTATTGTATTGAAAGGCTTTCTTCATTTCTGCTGATCGTGAACTTTAATAAACAGAAATATCTTGAGTATAAAATGACTGTACCACTTCCTCGAGTGTGATACGATAATACTCCACTCAAGACAGTTAAATTTCAATGCTTTGTCGAGATTGGAGAATTTTTTCGTATTGCACGAGATTCCTTAGAGGAATATATGTCTCTCTGATGATTTGTAGACAGACTTTATTTTTCTCCTCAAATGATCTGAAAAAAGATGTTTTTATAATAATATTAAAATAGCAACTTCAGAGGAAGACAAGATAATTTGACGTCATAACCTAATATTGACCAATAAAGAACTGAGATAATACGAACCACACGTCGATTTAAAATGATATAATCAACGCTCGGGGAAGTATAAATCGGCAAAGAATTAGAAAATATCATGTTTAAATAAACGGAAAGATGAGAAAATATATCATGTGAATATATGTAAAAATTAATCAAAGATACTAGGCTAATATTTTGTTATACCAGACGCGCCTCATTAGTAGAGCTCGAATAAAAAAGTTAGAAGGCCAAATCAAAAATGAAGGTGAGCATTACAAGACAAACATTTCGCGAAATACGACTAATGCCACCCATGCCTCGGGGTACAAAAATCTTAGTGTTTAGAAAAAAAATCACAACAACGTTATAGTAGTATAAAAGTAAAACAAACGTATAAATATAGAATAATCATATGTTCTATCAAGGCATAGAAACAAATAGAATGCATGGCTTTCAGAGAGAACTTATATTTCGAGACAATGTATGGTTATTTTCTTTATACTGTACCTCTTACAACTGTTCCAAATAATGAAATATTTTTGGTAAAAATAATCAATTTTGAATTTGGTGCGGACGACATAAAAATTCCGCGAACCTGTATTTCTTGTTGAAGTTTATTTACGGTCAGTGACTGTAAATCACAAATGGATTTTCGTTCAATGCAATTTGACTGAGCAAAAAACACAGTTGCAGTATAAATCAACTATATCGTATTTGTATATCTTCCAACTGTAAATAAAAAAAGCAGTGCTGATATGCAGTAAACATACAGCTGAATGTATTTATTTTGTAGGAATATTGACAGTTAGTAATGGATGAAATCGCAAAAATAGATAAAGCTGTGGCTAGCGTGTGCAAAGGAGATGACAAAAGAAGTGATGCTATGATGATGATGGCACCGGATAGTAATTGGGATCAGTTCCTAACACCAGCTCCGTGTGCTATTGCTTTGTTGGGAGATCTAATATTGATTTCAGCCGACACAGACTTCAGTCTTGACGAAAAACCACCCAGGGATGGCTTCAAGCTGCTCCGGTATCCAAATTCATTTCGGGCATCATTAGTTCAAGTCAGCAATGCTGGATGGGGTGCGTTTAATGAGGCGCATACCAGTATGGATCAAATTCGACTCCACAGTGGTAATGTTGATGGTCATGTTAAAAACGCCGTTAAATTTCTAATGCAGGGTACACCGGAAGAGGTAAAGAGAATGTTGCCTATGTCACTTGCTAAAATACAGAATATCGCTGACGAAAGCTTACTGCTTGCTCAGGCCATTGAAGATCGATTTGTTGGAGTTATGGAATTGACAGGAGAACTTCTTGAAGCATCTACTAATACGAAAGGGGTTTATGATGAAAAAACCAAAGAAACTGAAATAGCAATTGAAGTTGCAAGAACAGAAAGAGAGTCAAGAATGAAAGAAATAAAAAACACAGAAAAAAGACTTAGTAACATGGAAAAGGAGGTAAAAGAAGCACAGTCAGACTTTAAGGAGGCGATTAATAACATTCCGTCAGGAGGTGATTTGATTGGGATAGCCGTTTGTGAAGCAGTGATAGAAGGAGTACGTAATATTACCAGTATTCCAAGCAAAATTTCAGAAGGAATAAAGAAGAAACTAGGAACATCAGCTGCCAATGATGAAGACAGTGAAAGAGATGATGCGTACTTAGATAACGAACTATCAAGACAGCGTGTCTACTCCCAAGTATCAACAATCACCAGATATATCTACCAGCTGGTTCAGATTACAACAGGTAAAACTGACGACAATGGTCAGCAATGTCCTGATATGGGAAGGATAGGTCATGGTGATTTAGGTCGCATCCAGCAATTTATTGAAACGGCTAGAAAGCATGTCATCAGTGAGGTAAATAGTGGAGAACTTCGTGAAAGGGTATTGAAATTATGTGATGATGCTGTTGTCATTTGCAATACGCTCCAACGTCTAGCTAAAAGTATGGCAGATTTAGAAAATAGAAATGCTGTTATTTCGGAAGCTGTTAACAAAAGTAAATATCTTCAGAATGAATCTCAAAAACTTGAAGTTGAGGCACACAAAGCACTTGGAAGGAATCCACTTGATAACAAATCACCTCATCTGTCCAAAATGCCTTCGCAGAGTGGAAGTTCCTCTGCAGTTACAGCAGCGACTGAGAATGCTCGCTATAAAACAGAGCTAGCGAAAGAAACACTACGAGATGCTAAACGACGTAAGGAAAAATCAGCAGATGAGCTACGAGATTCCAATGAAAAACTGACAAAAGTTTTAATGGACATGGCAAAACTTGACTTGAAGAAGATTGACTTTGACACTATTCGTGAGACATTAGTTAAGGGCATTAAGGCATTAGCAGAAGTAAGAGAGCAATGGGGGAAACTTGTTCGATTCTTTCAGATGTTGTCCAATCTAATAAAATGTTGTCTGCACTCTTCTCTGACGGATTTCGTAGACCAGGCAACAATGGGCCGAGAATTAAAAATGACGAATAATGCTGCACCATTATCTGATATATTTAGGGATGTCATTTTCGAACAGGCATCAAAAGCCAGCCAGGTTGCTTATGTAGTACGTACAATTGCTGGAACATACGTTCAAATATCTAATGAACATTTGATGGACCGAATCACCTGCCTGGGAAGTTTAGTAGCTCTGGATCCCAAAAAAGATGAACATGAAATAAGGAGGAAACGCGAGGAACTACATTATGGATGCCAAGAAGCACAAAGGGCTATACTCTCTATTGTAATGAAACAAAAAGAGGAATTCAATGCAAAAGTGGAGGAAAGAATAGCAAAACTTCATGAAATCGAAAAAGCTATGCCACCAATTGAACCCGAAAGAATTAAAGAAATACAAACGAATGTGACATCTGGTATGGCAACATTTACCGATGAAGATATTGATGATATGGTTTGATCAAATAACTTCAAATGAATAACAGTCTGATCGATTGTTTTGGACAGAATACTATTATCGAATGTACATTACATAATGATGCTTTACAATAATCGCATTTCCTAGTAGCATTACATCAGTGAAACATTGCCCATATTTTAAACCCTTTCAACCAAATGCGGTCACATTGCAAAAATATATATACATATCATATATAGCATTAGCATGTTTTCGTCGTGATATGAATGTAATAATTGCCACTGGACGTTTAACACTTGTGTATCATCGTCATATGTTTCTTCTGGAATGTTCGCAATCAAACATGTTTTACATTGAAGACCTTAAATGAAATAAGATTTTTTGGGAATTACACAAATTGTTTTTCCAACTGCTTGATTAGATATATCATAAGTTAATTTTGAATATGTCATGCTACATTGTTGATATAAAAACATTAGAAAATAAAAGTATTGATTATATAGTATTGTTTAATATTCAAACCTAAAAGTGTTAAGCGAAAAGTTAAACAATGCTAGTAAAATTCAGAAAGTTCTTGAAACCTATTATTTTCATAGATTTTGACCTCCTAGACATGATTTCAGTATAAACTTATAATACATTTTCGCTCGTTTCTGCCCTTAGAGCAAATTTCATAATTCTAAAAACTTTGACCACAATAGTTGTTTAAAAGTTGGTTCGTCATCAAACATTATCATGAGACGTCGTTTGCTATTTGTGTGGTTTGGTTGCTGTCTCGTTGAGATATACTCCAATTCTACCTTTATAAAAGTCGTAGCGGTTTACATGAATTAATGGTAGTTTTCTTTTCTCTACCTTTTCGTCTGGAAATAATTTTCAGGAAGTTTTTATTGTAACTTTCTCGAAAAGTTGGGAAATATTTTTTACGACAAAATATCTCAATAATGTACCACAAGGAAACACAATCCCAGATCAATTGAAGGGGGTACTAGGTTACTTTTCAATATGAAAAAAGGAGATGAGGAATAGTTGCCAATGAGACAACTTTCCACCTGAGACCAAATGAGATGAAGTAATCAACACAATTCAGGTTTCATTGTACTGTTAAAAAAGTGATTTTGGAACAGCAAATGCCATGGGCCATTTTTGAATGGAATTAAGGGTGTCCCAAATTTTATCTTTTTATGTGATTGGTTTTAATATATGTCGTTATGATAAAATATGACCAATTAAAAAGAACGTAAAAATACATAGAAAAAAGAGTTTTTTAATAGTATTACACAAGATATTGATAGCGATCAAATACCTTACACCAAGTGTTTTTAGGAGTTTGATCACATGCATCATAAATTCAAGAACTATTATATAATGCCTGCAAACACATTCGCCATACACATCTATGTTTGATACATAAACATAGGTTTAGTTTTACTTGATAATTAAACATGCTTTCAAACATAAAGAGCGCTAACTACGCTTAACAATGCAATCGGCATGCTTTTTCAGCACGAATATATTGTATTACATTTTCCTTCCATTTATTGCCGGGTCCCAAATTTTAGCAAACGTTTTCGGTGGGCCCCTCCTACAATTACCCCTTTTTTTAACATCCTGGATTTACCACTGATTTATTCATGTCTGTCTCTAAACATGAAAAATCATAAACGGTACTAATTTTACTGACCAGATGCGCATTTCGAAAATTAATTCTCTTCAGTGACGCTCGAGGCCAATTTTTTTGAAAATACAAAATCTGATAAAAACGTTTAAGAGCTGAAAAAAGAAGACAATTATTTATAAATTCAATAAGGGCGGTCAAAGAAAAACAGAAAACACCATAGCCGTAAGAAAATCGATGAAAAGACAAACAACAGTCTATAAAGCATTTCACAGAAAAATAAAAACTGAGCAACACAAAACCCACCAAAATACAGGAATGATCATAAGCGCTCCGAAAGGGAAGGAAGTCCTACTCCAGTAGAGGCACCAGTCGTGTTTATCATGGCAAAAATGTCGACCCAAAAGAATTGAGAACAAAGAACGTAAAATATTTAAAAAAAAACAATTACACTCGTTAAAACGATAAAATCGGCTAAGTATTAGATACAATGAATTTCACGGCATCATACTAACCAAGGTTTAGTTTATAATATGTTCTCTTACAATTACAGGCAATATGTCAGTAGTGCAGACCAGAATTCATGAGAAATATAAATACCATTTTGAAAAAGTTCTAGAATTTCTGTTGAAAGGTCTGGAACATTTATCAGCGTTTATACAGCACTTGAATGAAATAACTGGTGGGAGATGTCAAGATGATGACAAATACATAGCTAAAGTCTTGTTTCCCTTGATTGAAAAAGCAAAAACGGAATTTGATGAAATGGCGACATACGCTGAAGGTTTATTACAACAGATAAATTCCGACTTCGAGCGATGCGTGTCTGATTTGAAGGTTAATAATGACAAGTTAAAGGAAATAGATTCGGATCTAAATGAGTTGGAGAAAGAGTTACAGGGTACAAAGAAAGCTGTAGACACTGCCAATGATCAATGTAGAAGAAAAAGAGAAGATTTGTCCGCTGCCGAAAACGCACTCTCGGATGCAAGGCGTAAGCTCGAAGACGCGAAAACAGCTCAAGAAGCAACCATTGCTGCTGGAGTATCAACTACAGTAGCCTCAGCTTTCCTAACATTTTTCGTTCCACCCTTGGGTATAGCCGGTATGGCAGCCGGTCTTGGTACAGGAATAGTAGGCGTCACAGCTCTTGAAGAGGCAGTCTCGTTGTGTTCAAATAATTTTAGTTCTGCTCGTAGTGAAGTGCAATCGAGTGAATCGGTACTGGAAAGGGCAAGAAATGCTAAAACTGTAGTAGACAACAAGTTGGACAGTGCAAACAAAAGGAAACAGCAAATAAAGACCCAAATGGAAGAAGTAAAAACTGACAAAAATACACTTGAGGAATATCGAAAACTTATAATAATATTCGCTGAAGATTACAAGAAATTTCACCGCCAACTTTGCGATTTTTATGGCAAATATAAGGTCCTAAGATGCGAAACAGCTGGTGGATATTCACTTCAAATGCTTCAATCGCCAACAAAGATGATAGGTGTTTCTCTCTCGTCGCTGTGTCAGAGCGCAGCAATTAAAGCATTATGTGAACATCCTATTCAAGCAATTATGAGAAAACATCTGCTTCAGATTGGGTCTGTGAAATGGCAAACTTTTGAGCAAGTTTCAGAAATAGATGATCTTATTTGAGTGTTACCCAAACTATAAACTCTCTATATCTTAAACTTGCCATAAAGTGAATGTACATAAAGTTTCATCGTATAAGTTAACGAATAGGGTAGTTTGTGTTTTTATAATATTTTGAATGTAAAGTTATGGTATAATATTTTTTTAATAGTATTTCAAACAAATAAGATATTTAATCGATTCAAGATTGCAATTATATACATTGTGAGTTAACTTCTGTGCACCAAAATTCGAACTTGGATGTGTTCAATTAATGTACCATGCTTCTTATATATTTACTTGCTTTAAATGCAAATAACAAACATTATAAAATCTCAATAGTTTTAATATCATATTATTTCTAAGCCTCGCTCCGTTTGTTAGTACCATTTTATTTTGTTGAAACACAAATTCGTCCCAGAGCATATATATACATATATTATAAAATCTTAAGAGTTACATACTAGTATACAGATTTACAATAAAATTTTCCTTATATAGCTGAAACGATGAAATAATTTTCTTGAAGTTTTCGATAAAAGAAGCTAGAAATGTGGGTACTAGCATAACGAAAAAAGAGCTCACCTAGGTGATGGTAAAAAGTATTCTCCCCTCCTGCTTTCTCCTCAGATTTTAATAGGAGAATGTGCAGTATCAAAGTTTTCTTTTTATTATCGTTTTTTTTTATTCTTCGATTTATTCAATATGAAAATAAGAATATGTGGTTGGATTGCCCATGAAACAACTATCCACCAAAAGACCAACGGACAATGTTGCAAAAAGGATGCAAAAGGTCATCGTACGGGCTTCAACAATGAGCAAAACCCATACCGAATAGTAAGCTATAAAAGAACTCAAAGTGATTAAATGTAAAGCAACTTAAAAGAGAATACGAACGACCTTATTTAATCTAATAACATTAAAAGAAAAGAAAAACCGGCAAACGGAAACTAAGCTTACTAAAGCGGTGATATTTTTTATCGTTATGTCCGTTCGTTTATTTGTTTCCGTCTGTTATTCGTATCTACACTCTTAAACGACCTTTCTAAAATTGTCCGTTTATAAATTTAGAAATTATATGAAAAACAAAGGTTTCAACTCCCTCGGGCAAAGTTGATCCTAGATGGATTTTTAGGTCCTTTTTGATCATATAGCTCATCAACTGTTTCGGTTCTTATAAATCCTTGGTTTTCAAATATTCGGGTTAGAGCGTTGCTAATGAAGGTAAATCCCGAAAAGCGCTTCGGAAGCATGAAATTTATAACGCGTTATTTTCATTTTTCACAGCACTGGGTCGATACCTCTGCAGGTGAGCTATCAAGGCCCCGAGGGTATCATCAGCTTAGTAGTCGGTACTTCGGTACTGACATGATTTATAACAAACTTTTCTAAAATTGTCCGTTTATAAATTTTGAAATTATAAAGAAACTAAGGTTACAACTCCCTCAGGCAAAGTTGACCTTAGATGGATTTTTATGTCCTTTTTGATCATATAGCTCTTCAACTGTTTCAGTTCTTATACATCCTTGGCTTTCAAATATTCGGCTTTGAGTGTTGCTAATGAAGGTAAATCAATAAAAGCGCTTCGGACGCATAAAATTTATAACAAGTTTTTTTCATTTGTACAGCACTGGGTGGATACCTCTGCAGGTGAACTATCATCCCCCGATGGTATCATCAGCTCAGTTTTCGGTACTTCAGTACTGACATGACTTATAACAATCCTTTCTAAAATTGTCCTTTTATAAATTTTGAAATTATAAAGAAACTAAGGTTTCAATTTCCTCTGGCAAAGTTGACCGTAGATGGATTTGGCTATATTGTTTTAGGTCCTTTTTTATCATATAACTCTTCAACCGTTTCAGTTCTTATACAATTTTTTGTACATCCTTGGCTTTCAAATATTCGGCTATGATAGTTTTTGATGAAAGTAAATCCAGAAAAGAGCTTAGGACGCACCAAAAACTTTCGCAGAATCTGTGATTTCTGATGGCAATGTGCGCTAATTGAGGAGCGGAGGTATTCATTTATGAGGTAAGCTCAAAGGTTTTGTCTCGGCTCAACAAAGTCGTGGAAGAGACGGGACTTAGGCATTCTGTTTCGGCAACGGCGTCAACAATTGTTACAGTCTGTAATTAGGTCGGTTTTAGCAAAAACCAATGGCAAGTCAATGAATTTGGTATGCAGTTCGATAATTATTGGCGCATCTCATTGTCATGGAAATTATTTGGCACCGCCCTCCTCAGTCATGGTTCATAGACTTTGAAACTTTTGCATAGTATGTAAAGTAAGAAGATATGGTATGATTCCCAAGGACAAAAAAAAATATTTCTGCTTTAATTTCAACATTTTCATTGTATATCGAAATTGCACTGGCGATACATGACATATATCTGTGTCAACAGTGTATTTGTCTTGTAGTGTCCAATAGGATAATAATACTGATTTAAGCTGTATCAAATTTGCTTCATTTGTCGCTGTTCTGTGTCTGCACATTTTATGTGTTATGTAATTGGCTTAAAAATCTTAAGTAAAGAAGTATTTAATGGAAGATCTTCCTAAAACAAGTGTGGTAAGCACTAATATAGGTATCAAATGTAATGACGGAAGATCTTACCGAAACATGTATGGTAAGCACTGATATCAGTTTCAAATGTTTAATAAGGCCGTACTTGACATATAATCTTCCAGAAACACGTGTGGTAAGCACTAATATCAGTTTCAAATGTTTAGTAAGGCCGTACATGACATATAATCCGCTTCCAGAAACACGCGTGGCAAGCAATAATATCAGTTTCAAATTTTTAGTGAGGCCGTACTTGACATATAATCCGCTTCCGGAAACACGTGTGGTAAGCATTAATATCAGTTTCAAATGTTTATTGAGGCCGTACTTGACATACAATCCGCTTCCAGAAACACGTGTGGTAAGCACTGATATTAGTATCAAATGTTTAGCAAGGATAATCTTGACGGTAGATCTTCCGAAAACACGTGCGGAAAACACTGGTATCGGTATCAAATGTTTAGTTAAGGTGTACTTGACGAATAATCTTTCAAAACACGTGTGGTAAGCACTTATATTGGTATCAAATGTTAAGATCATATGATATAAATGTGTGATAAGATATTTCTCCACTCTATACAATTAAATGTTCAAATTCGAAACACGGGGTTTTCCGAGATGCGATGGTGGCATCTGTTTCTCTAATGATTTTTGGACGATAGTTTGGCAAACTTTATTGATATGCAAAAAGAAGTCCTCTCCTCTCCATGTAACGTTATCAGGCATGGTCACTTTTTTTCGTGACGTACCAATAGAAAATTTAGAAGAAAGCAAGACAATTTGACGCTATATTTCAATGTTGACTAATGAAGCACTGAGATCAATAGAAAAAAAAAACCACGTCGATTGTTAAAATAATCAACCAGTCGGGGAAAGTATAAATTGGCTAAGAATTAGAGAAACAAAAACATAATGCTCAAATATATTTTTGTTTAGTCAAACTTAGTCTAACGTATTATAAAGCACAACATCTCTTTTTGTCAATGTTAGTTCCACATTCATAACTCTAGTCTTATAGTTTAATGTGTGGTTTCTTCTTGGGCCATCTCTTTTTTCGATGATCAATGTTCGTACTCGTCCTTGCTGGTTAGTACATATTCAATGTGTCATACAAGTGAGAGGTTTACAAAATGTAGCTAGCTATAAAACCAGGTTTAATCAACCATTTTTCTACACAAGGAAGTGCCCGTACCAAGTCAGGAATATGACCACTGTTTTCAATTCGTTTGATGTGTTTTAGCTTTTGATTTTACCAAGTGATTAGGGACTTTCCGTTATGAATTTTCTTTGGAGTTTCGGTATTTCTGTTATTTTACTTTTTATATTACTTAGTCTGTCTAATTGTTTTCCGTTTTAATTACTTATGTAAGCTTAAATAAGGCCGTTGGTGTTCTATTTTGATTTGTTTCACATTTTGTATTCTGAGACCTTTTATTTAACAAAATAGTAATAAAAGATAGTTGATCTTGCTCATTTAGGTCGAGGTATTGAAAATATTTTAAAGTTAGGAGGGTTGAAATGATCTTTACCGTCAGGTTTCAAACACCTTCTTTTCATTATTGTTAGCTTCAAATGAGCCTAAAAATGTATTTTTTTCTCAAATGAATTACTGTACGCGTTCAATGGAGGAAAATATTTATCGTTATATTTAATTTAAGCAAATTAGATTGTTAATCGTTATTTGGGTTACCCCATTCCATATTCAGTCTGGATTATATATTGTCATTTGGCACAAGTGGAAAACATTTTCTGTATGTGGGAAGCAAAAATGGTATGTCCCGTAGTGGTATGATTTGTTTCTGGTATTCTAAAATGTACCTATTGTTATATTTTGCCGCAATTTTATAATCAAATCGTCTTTTAGCAGTCAAAATGATATTCCGTTTCCATTCCTTAAAAAAAGATCTAATTCCATTACGTTATATTTCTTAATGTTCTTTCTATATAACCCCAAAACTGAATCGACTTACCTGCTCAGCAATCACAGCGACAAAGTTAAGTTCAACGGTAAATCAAAGTGACAAAAAGAACAAAAAAATACCCACGAAAGTGAACGAGAAATTTGACACAGTTGGTATCGAACTGAGTATTAATAAGCAATAAACCTACATATAACCTTTTTGCCACCGATTTATTTATTTGACCATGCCTGGTTTAAATTTCATAACTCATACAAATACATATAAACATAAAAGAATACAAAACTGAAATCTGTAAAAGCTTTAACACACTAACATGACTAAGGCATTTATAATCAAAATTGGGAAATGTCAAAGAAATATAGTTTTTTAGCTCACCAGGCCCAAAAGGGCCAAGTGAGCTTTTCTCATCACTTGGCGTCCGTCGTCCGTCGTCGTCCGTTAACTTTTACAAAAATATTCTGCTCTATAACTACTGGGCCAAATAAAACCAAACTTGGCCTAAATCATCTTTAGGGTATTTAGTTTAAAAATGTATC